AAGACTCCCACGTACACCCAAAAGCGAAACCTCCAAACCATTGCCGAAACATGCACAAGTGACTGATAAGGATACGCAACACTGCATACACAAATGGCCACAATCTTGAAAGATGCAGAGCGGTACCGATGCCGATCACCAGAGCTGTCAAACTGACCGTTGAAACAATAAACGCACCATGTGAAGGTACAGCAGGTACAAAAAAAACCGCAAGACCCTGCGGGTATGAACCCGGTGGGTATCCCATGGGCACAATAAAACAACTCGTACATATATTGAAATATAAAAGCTGGGCCACCATACGCACTTTGAAGGCCCCGCAAATCGGGGAAGATGAACCCAACATCCCACGGACATCCACGAACGAGGGCGAGGGCGGGCTCCGCCGATCGGTGGCAATCCCAAGGGGGGGGGAAGGCCCGAGGGGGCGGGCCTGCGCAGAGGGCTCGGCTTGGTCAACGTTTTCCGACTCGGCGTGCCTGAAGGGGCCCACAAACACACAGACAAAGACACACAGCTAACAGGCTTCCGCATATTTTCCCGTAGTTTCGGGGTCTCTGTCTCCCCCCCATTTCCCATATTTTCCTATATTTTCCTGGGGCTCGACGATCAGTGGTGTCTGTGTGTTTTTTCTCCTCCTGAGTTTCGACATTGGGCGGAGGAGGGAGGGACTGGGGGGGGGTCTGGGGGGGTCTGGCTCCTGACCTCTGCTCAGTGCGACTATTTGCAGCAATGCGTGCTGTGGGAGAGAATCCACCTGCCTCGAAACAGGTGCCAAAGACAGCCAAGATCTACTCCACCGGGGGGGGGGGGAGGAGAGATGCAAGGGCCCGCGCCGATCGGCAAAACAATGAATAAGAGAACGATCACTTGGAGGGGGGGGAGATCTGTTTGAGCATGTTATAGGACATTTTGAGCAATATCGCGGATTCGATCAATCGGGAGGTGGCTCTGGAAAAGCAGGAGGCGTCTCGGGCCTGGTGGGACTGGGTTCAGATAGGCACTCAGGGCAATGCTGGATAGACTTATAGCCGGGCAAACTCTCTGGAGGCCTGGCAACCCTCGCAGCAGGGAGGAGGGGGGGACGGGGACCATGACCAAGATGCAACGTGGAAGCGTCGTGGCGATCGTGGTCCCCGCTGACTTCGGTCAGCGTCCATTTGCGGATCAGCCTCGCGAGCGAGCGACGGCCTCCGTGGGCCACGACCACGAACGACAGCGGCAAGATCCCGCGACATGCTGGACATGGTCCCCGCGTGCCTTCGCTCGACGGGGGGCCTCGGGCCCTCTGAGAGGCTTCCCCGAGCGCTTCTCGAAGACAGCGGCGGCCTCTCCGAAGGCCAGAGGGCTTCGGAGAAGCAGAAGCCCCGCCGCCTTCTGAGAAGGCCTGCCCTTTGGTCGGGCATGTTCCCCTGCAGGCGGATCTTGGGCGAAAAATAAAAACATACCCCAAACCTTGTCAACAGACGAAGTCAAAAATGGTCAAGCAATCGTCCCAATATCATGTTTGAGACTATGTTTGAATATTCCCCCTGTGGAGGACCAGCCCCGACTTGAGCCTGCCCCCTTCTCACATCCCCCCGGGGATCGCCGCCGAGCCGAGGCCAGCGCACCGAAGTCTGCACCGATCGCTCGATGGGCAAAGGCGCTCCGCGGCCACCGGAGCTCTCGGGAGACCGAACCGGCACCCTCCCGCTCCTGGCGCGCTGCAGCCTCTGCGCGACCAGGGGTGCTCTCCCCCTGTCACGGGACACCGGGCCCTCGCCCATCTAGGGGGCAAACAAACCTACCTCGCTTTTGACCACCCTCGCTTCCAAGAGATACCAAGCGATGCCAAACTACGGCCTGTACTGGTCAGGCCGCTTGACGAGGAGGCGCATGGTATGACTTGGTTTTGCCTGGAAGCGAAAGCGGGGGAGGTAATTCACGCTCTGAACATCGGTGGGGCTCGGGCAGAAATATGGCGCAGCACGGTGGAGTCCGGGGCTTCGTCGGCAGGCGTCCGATCTGAGAGCAGAACGTTTCTGTGCACCACCGCCGTGCCTGGGCCAGGGCCACCCTGAGCCCCGGCACGGTGCGGACGCCCCTCTGGCCGAGGCCTGGCGGGCCTGGATGCATCCTTGCTGGGCCCCAGGACGACCCTGGCTGAGCACCGCGATGGCGTGCGCAAACTTGCAGTGCATCGAGAGCCAGGTGCAGTTTCTGCGTAGTTCCCAACAAAAGGATGTGTGTAATAGCAAAGCAAAAAACAACATAACGTAAACTGTTGCCGGTCCGCGCGGATTTCCCCGATCCGCGCTGCACCCCCTTCCCTGGCGCGCGGAGCGCGCCAGGGGCGGCGCCGGAGGCGCCGCCGGGGGGGGCCCAGCGCGGATCCAAGAAATCCGCGCGCAGCGCCTAAAGTTTATGTGTATGACCTTTTTCTTCTTCCACGTGAAGCGTTCTACGCGCTGGCTCGAGTTTTTGCGCTTGCTGGCCGACGCCTGCGGACGCTCTCGCTCCGTCGTCGCCCGCGGGTCAGCCTCGTGGGCGCCCCCGGAGCGCCGGCTGGCGCATCGCTGGAGCTCCGCTCCGTTGCCGCCCGTGGGCGCCCCGTGCGAAGGGTGGCGCTTTTATAAGGACCACAGAGGCGCTGGAAATGATTAGACTGTAGCCTCCTCCCTCCTCCTTCTCCTGCTCCTCCTCCTCCCTCCTCCCTCCTCCCTCCTCCTCCTCCTCCTCCCTCCTCCTCCTCCTCCTCCTCCTCCTCCTCCTCCTCCTCTTTTTGAAGCCGGGATATCGGTCCTCCTTCCTACTCATTATGCACGGTCGCTCATCCTTCATATCAAATAACAGGATGTCAGCCACGGCGCTATCGACACCCCCGCCAACACCTGCATGAAATACATTGCGGCGCACGTGCAATGATCTAACACGTGTGCTGTTGCAGCAACCCTTCGTAATCAAACAACACCATGCGGACCAAATTCGCGCCCCCTCGTGCGCATACCAAGCTCATGATACAACCATTTGTTGTTTTTGTGGCATGCTTGAAAACATGGTTTCCATACAATGACGGTCGACTCTTCGTTGGTCCCAGGTTCAAATCACAGCCAGCACCGCCGCGTCACCGTGAGCAGCTTCCAGCACGGGGAGCGGGGAAGTAAGGGGTGGGGAAGGGGGCATCAGGATACGTCGCAATAGCGCGACCAAGCAATCGAAGCACCGCAAGTTTGGCAGGGGACATTCGTTTCAACGTGATTGCTCCTCGTCTGGGGTCGCTGGCTGCGCCGTCTGGCGGCCTCGACGGCGACGACGACGACGACAAATCGGGAATTGTTTTTCGTCTACCACTTCCCAGGGTTAGATCCGGCATGTCCCCCTACAGGCGGATTCTGGACGAAGAGTGACAAATAGTCAACACCTTCTTCAAACATAAACAACACATGATAGACAAATGTGTCTCCATAGCATTTTTTACTCTTCTGGAATATTCCTCCTGCAGAGGCACGTGCCCGACTTGACACTTCCCAGGGGGGCGCTGCGTCCCTCCCCCCTCCAGCATTATCACCATCGCCTGGTCGCAGGACGGCGGCAACTCAGGGCCGCGGGTTGGCCCTGGCCTGCTGTGGAGCGTACCGCACGAGGGGCGCGGGGCGCAAGTAGCGGGGGAGGAGGAGGAGGAGGAGGAGGAGGAGGAGGAGGAGGAGGAGGAGGAGGAGGAGGAGGAGGAGGAGGAGGAGGAGGAGGAGGCGGAGGAGGAGGAGGAGGAGGAGAGGGGGGAGGAGAGGGAGGAGAGGGAGGGGGAAGTGAGAAGGGAGGAGGCGAAGGAGGAGGAGGAGGAGGAGGCGGAGGAGGAGGAGGCGGAGGAGGAGGAGGAGGAGGAGGTGACTGAGGCGAGGAAGGGCGTGCCAGAAGGGCAACTTCTTCTCGCGGCGCTGGCCGCAAGTAGCATGAAGAACTGACGCTAACGCCAAAGCACCTGCACCACCACCACCAACTGGTTTCACGCCGGGCACCTCCAGGAGAACCCAAAGCTCCGACGTCATGAGTTGTCCACACGACGTGAGCCTCCCGGAGGTCCGACCCCCTTCCCCAGGGCCAGTTTTCCATCCCCAGTCGTTTTCGATGGTCGCGGGGCCCAGTTAGGGCCCCAGGAGGACGAACATTTCCAAAGAGCATCCGTTACGATTTGTCCAGAATGACGAGGAACAAGCCTGTCCGCGCTCACATGGACACTCGCAAACTGGCGGACGCCCGCGCGCGCAATCGAGGAGCAGAGGGCCCGAGACAGCCACCCAAATGCAACAACGATTCACAACAGCCTCGGACTCAATGTTCCAGAGGCTGCAGACGCATACATGTTTTGTGTTTGGACACTCCCTCCTCCTCCTCCTCCTCCTCCTCCTCCTCCTCCTCCTCCTCCTCCTCCTCCTCCTCCTCCTCCTCCTCCTCCTCCTCCCTCGTCCCTCGTCCCACCTCTGAGGGGGAAGGAGAGGAGGGGTCGGCTCAGGGGGGGAACCTGGAGCTGGACGGTGCATCGCCGACAGATCGGCGATGGGCCCCCCGCGGCAACACCGCGGCCTCCTAGATTCGGAAGCTGGGCGAAGGTTGCTAAAACTGTGGCTGCTAAAACGGGCGCGGCACGCGAAACAGTCAACGGGCTTCTTCCTGGAAGGACGAAGCCAACTTCCCGGAAGTCGATTTTTTGCAGCCACGGATTTAGCAGCCCTCGCTGGGCTTCTGATAGATGGGGTCCGAGCACATGGGATCGGAGGATTGCACCGTATCGGCGGCGTCGGTGATGCATCGGCGGCGCCGGCGTGGAGAACGCCGGGCTCGGGCTCCACACCAAGCTGCAGCGCCGATGCTTCGGTGATGTATCAGCGATGCGGCGCGACCCTGCGACCCCATCTACTCCGACCCCATCTGGGAGGCCTAGATATATAGGCGATCCGATGAGCGTTCCCCCTCTGGGCCTACCCCCCTCCCTAACGTTACACACGAGGCGGCTGCTCGGCCTGCAGGTCGGGCTCCGTGGACGCGTCCGTCAGCTCGCCCTCGCGCGCGCGGCGGGCATCCCTACATTGCTACAGCGACATGTTCTCAGAACAAACGTCGGGCGTTGACAAGGCTGGGTTGAGTGGGACCTGGCTTAGTGATGTGCGGCGGGGGGTGCCACCCTGGCCCCATTCCCCAAACCAGAACTGCCGCCGCCCGAAGAAGTAATGACCCACTACGGCAGGCCTGATTTAGTGAGTCTGGTCAATCTGGGGGGCTTCGGAGCCCAATCACTCACCAGCTCCACTTACCCGGCGTCGTGGCTACACCCAAAGCGAGTGTTCCAAGCACAAAAGCAAGGCTCTTCGAACACGGAACCGATTGTTTAGAACCGGATTGCCTACACTAGGAATGGTATAAGTACATTTCGTGCAAGCCACATGCGAT